AGATTTCACTTATAGGCGCCCTATTTGCAAGAGGGTGTAATCCTGTTGCAGGAGACAGCAACCATGCACCTGTCGAGAGATTAGCATTGCCAAGATGATGGAGGTCGACGACTGTATCAAACATGGTCTCGGGCCTCATCTTTGGTTTGTATCAACCCAGCGCAACTTGGTTGCGTATGAATTCGGTATTAAAGAGACATTCAACGCCGTGGACACCAAGATCCAGGCTATTTCTGCCGACAAAGTGCACTTATAGCGTCGCTAATCTGAAAGTTAGTTCTAATCCGTCTTTCCACACTGGTAGACACGCTTTTGAACAGCCTCATCTTTTTTGTCTTATTTCCAGAAAGACTACTAGCATCAAGTTTGAATTCCCATAGCTCTCTGTATGTCTTATCTGGTCGGCCGTCTTTGCACCGCATCGTTGGTTCGCTGGAAGCCCTGGCCATCGAGGTCAGGATCGTGCCAGCGATTCCGTTTGCGCCCGACAGCAGCGGGCGCGAATAGAAAGAGCACCAAGAAACAATACATATACCTCCAGTGAAGATGAACCCGACTAATGCATATTTGAGTGTCGAGCGGCAGTCTGTCCAAGCGCCACTTAATAAATTTACACAAAATTCTAAACCACACGTCCAATGGTGTACCCGCCTACGCTACCAAATGCCACTAGCGCGCCAGTAATACGCTCGAATATATTCATATCTCTCAACGACAACTTCCCGTAGCCCATTGATTCATTCCCATACGATCCCCTTGCAACGCACACAAATGCCTCGCACAGACGAAGCCGCCGCCTTTTTCCACGCCGTCTACTCTGCCATTAGCGAGATTCCCCACGGCCGAGTCACCTCTTACGGCCACATTGCCGCCTTGATTGGCACTCGTACGTTCTTGTTCCCCGTCCTTTTTTTCCTCCTCTGCATCCCCCTCGTCTTACTTTTTTTCCAAACTCAGCACAGCGACCTCGTCAAGTCGGCGTCTGCCTCAAGCACCTCCCCGACGACCCCTCGGCGCGGTGGAACCACGCGACGGTGCCGTGGCAGCGCGTCGTCAATGCCCGCGGCGTCATCTCCCCGCGGAACCACCCGACGGCCGTGCGTACGCAGGCGGAGCTGCTGCGCGACGAGGGCGTCGAGGTCGCCGCCGGCGGGCTGGGCGAGCTGAGCGTCAATCTGGACGAGTACGGCTGGTTTCCGTCGGTGCTGCCGTCTGAGGAGCAAGCCGGCGCAGAGGTCGGGCCGGATGTCGAGGTCAATACAGAGTAGAGTGTCTAGACCATTTGGTCTTTCTTCATGTACTATTGTTCATCATCTACAATTACAGCATAGTCATCACCATGTCAAAAGGCATCAAGTAGTCAGACCGCAAACGAGGTATGTATTGCTGAGTATCAACTAATCCACATCAGAACATCCCACAATAAACAATAAAAAGACACAGAACGAGTGAAAAGAAGAAGAAAACAGTGACAAGTAAAATGTTTCGATCCAGTTTCACCAAAAAAAACTCCAAGCAATGAAGGTGTTGCTGAAGCAGTCGTAAAAGAAATGACAAGACCAGGCCAAAAAGAAGAATATAAAAAGAACCTTGAGAAGCATGAGCACATTCTTGACTAAAACGTGGCTCATACGCTGATACAATTTGAATGACAGAAGAAGAAGAAGAGAAAAAAGAAGAAACAATATATGCCTCCGAGTTATGCACTGGATCGGACGCATACCATGTACATACGTATAAACAGAGCCCATGTCGTCGTTACTGCAACGCTAAAATCAAGAGTAGAAAAAAAAACAAAAAGAGTCGTGTTGCTCCAGAAAACAGAGAAAAGAAGACCGGCGCTGAATGGGGTATGGATAACAGGAACCAGTCGTGCGCTTTTCGAGTTTGAGGGTCCATTGGTTTCGAGGTCAAACAGACTACGACGTGACTGTCTGTTCTTCCTCTGGCGACGTGTTTGGTGGTGTGTCCGGCTCGCGCCGAAAGATTCTAAACGCATAGCTTAGCCCCTCCTAGAAGCAGTTCAAGCTGCCCTTCTTCTTCTTGCCCTTTTTGATGGCATTCATCCTCTCCTCGAGCTGCCTTCTAGCCTGCTCCGCTGCTTGTCGTTTCTTGCGCTCCTCTTCCACAATCTGCATGCTCCATCGGTTGTCCTGCGCCGATTCTGTCGGCCGATCTTTGAGTTCCTTAACTTCCGACTCCAAGTCAGAAGCACGCTTTCTCCACGCATCGCAGTCCGTCTTGACCTTCTTCGACTGCTTTTCGAGATCGCTGAGAGCCTCCTCCAGAGTCTGCGTCAGCTGCCGCTCCGCGTACAAGTGCTTCTCAATGGTGCGGATGCGCGCTTCCTGGTCCTCGGTGATTTGAGAAATGTTCATGTTGTCTTTGCTAAGAGGGCGACCACTCGTCGGGCTTGAAGGTGCGCCAGTGACAGACGACGCTGCAGAGCCAGGCAGGGGCGGTAGGGGAATAGCAGGGGGTGGCGAAGGCAGAGAGTTGTGCGAAGCAGCCTTGCGGATTGTCGAACCAGAGTTGGAGCGCCGCACGTCGCCATTCGCGTCAGCTTCGCTCAGCTTGACCTGCAGCGAGTTGTACTCGACGCGGAGCGTGTCCAGCTCGGCCTGGAGCTTGGCTCTGGCGGCATTAATTTCTTCCAGCTGCGCTGTGCGCTCCGTCTGCAGAGTGCTGAGGCGCTTGTTCGCCACCTGTGCCTCGTCAAAGTTGTTCTGCAGCTGCTCCTCTAGCTCCTCAACTAGGCGACTGTGCTTCTTATTCTTGGACTCCAGTTCATCCATCCTACCCTTGACGGCAATAATCTGGTCCTTGACAGATGCGGGCGCCGCAGCAGTCTCGGTCTCGCTGGCAGGTTCGGTCAGCAGCTCAGCTAGCTTGGCCTTGACTTCTTCCAGATCATGCATGACAGTTGTGTTGATCGAGGTGAGCTCGGCGACGTGTTTCTGCATCTCAGCCGACTTGATCTGCTCCGCCTGGAGCAGCTTTTGGTCATTGACCAGCCCATCGATGCGCTCAGTAAGCTTCTCGATGCTAACCTCCAACCCCAGGGCCGAGGCAACTTGTGTAGCCACCTTCATCAAGTCATCACGTGCGTCATTTACCTCGGCTTCGAGTTTGCGTGCCGATTCCTGGTGCTCAGCCAGAAGAACCTCCATCTGTTCTTCGTAGCCCTTTTGCTCGTGCGCCTTTATCTCGGCAAGTTCCTTGGCGTGCGTCGCCGACAGCCCATCGAGAGCCTCCTGGTGAGACTTGGAGGTGCCCTCAAAGTTGGCAATTTGGGCTTGCAGCTCGGCGACGAGTTCCTCGTGCTGTTTCGCCTGGGATGCCGCAGCGCTGTGCGAAGTCGACATGTTCTCCAGGTCGGACTTGGTGGCAGCATGTGCCTGTTCGAGCTCAGCAATCTTGGAAGAGTTGCTATGGATGATTTTCTTATACTCATCAATTTCACTGCGCAGAAAGTTGACGAGATCCAAGTGTTTGCGTTCGTTGCTGGCAATGGCATCGACATCAGCCGTCGAGGTAGCCTTAGCCTTTTCGAGATCGGCATTTGCTGCGGCGAGCTCGGTCTCGAGGCGTTGAATAGTGCTGCGGAGCTCGGCCTCGGCGGCTTGCACAGAAATTAGAGTCATGGTGTGCTTCGACTCCCAGGCGGAAAGCTCGGCTTGCAGAGAGATGACCTGCTTGTCCTTGTCGGCGGCAGTCGCCTCAACGCCATCTCTATGCTTCTCCTCGTTCTGGCCAAATTTGACACGCAGTTGCTCCAACTCGGACATCAGAGACTGTTCGCGTTGCTTGTGGCCTTCAGCCATGTCAGCCAGCTGTTTCTCATTCTGCTCGAGTTTCTGTCGCAGGGTTGCGACCATGGACATATCCATAGGGCTGGCCTTTAAGCTAGTGCGCTCACGAGTCAGGCCAGAGATGATGGTCATCTTAGTCTCCATTTCCTTCTTTGTTGACGCGACAGAAGCTTCGAGCTCCTGGATGCGCTCGCTGCGAGTGTGAAGTTCATGCATGGCGGCGTTGAGATTGAGCTCAAAGTTTTGCATGACTTCCGGGCGGGTTTCAAAGTTTTCGCTAGCTATGTTACGCAAAGAAGCAAACGAGCGGTGAGCTCTGTCAATGATGAGGAGATTTTGGCTGGATTTGCGGCGAATCACAGGGTTAGCAGTACGCGGAGAGGTGCCCTCCACGGCACGCGCCTTGGACAGATCCGTTTTGAGCTGCTCCACGGCATCGAGAGTGTCGCTGTGGGATGACTGAAGCTGGGCGTACTTAGCGGCGAGTTCCTTGGCAGCCTCTTCTCTGTCGTCGGCAAGCTGTTTGAGGCGCTCCAGCTCTCGAGTTAATTCAGCAGTCAGATCGCTCTGCGTCACATCATCGCTAGAGGCGTCAGGCTTGGTGGTGGCCGTATCGTCGTCCTCGGCCATGTCTTCGTGGGCCGAGGTGTCGGCGGTGTCAGCCGACTCCATAGCAGAGGAGAGCTCGGAGGAGAGGGAGCGGGACGCAGATGAACGTGGACCGTCCTTGGCAAGTTGCGATACAACGGAAGAGCGGAAAGAATCGGGTCGCTGGTTGGACGAATATTCCGAGGTGACAGAGTCACGTACGCTGCGGAGGTGGCGGGCTTCATCAACGGTATCCTGGAGGGCGGCCATTTTCTGCATGGCTTCGTCATACTTGGCTTGAAGCGCGTCGTAGTTATTGACGGTAGATTCGTGCTCAACACGGAGGTCTACCAGCTCCTGTGTGACGCTCTCGAGTTTATCTGCGACATACTCGCTCTGGTCCGGGCTTTGTACAACCTGGGCGGGAGTGTCGACATGGAGACCGTCGGGCGTCTTGACTTGACGAGTGACGTGCTCGACAGAGTCCTGGAAGACCTCCTCTCGAACGGTACTAGCACGGGATTCGTCGGCGTCTGCGTCAGCATCCTCATCATCCTCGTGGATTGTTTCGTTGATTTGACTCTGTGTGCGAATATGAGATAGCTTGCGGGAGTGGTCAGCAGAAGCACGGAGTGAAGAAGATTCGTGGGTTCCGTTCACTTCGGGCTGCTTCGCCCCGTCGACGTGATCGAGTTCATAGAGTAGGGAATCGAGCTTGCCCAGACTGCGCTGGCGTTCAATGATTTGTTCGAGGCGATCGATTTCGCGCTGCATCAGCTCGGCGTCCTGGTCGGCTTCGGCGAGGCGCTCCTCCAGAGTGGAAATGTAGTCTTCGCACGACGCCTCATTCTCACGAGCGCGGGCAATTTCTTTGCGCAATTCGGTAATAATGGAAGCATTCTTTTCGTCGCCGTTGCTGTGGCCGTCCAGTTTGGATTCGAGATCGTGAAGATAGGACTCAGTATTGGCTTCGCGATCCATGAGTTTCTGTACTCGAGACTGAAGCTGTGTGTTAATGGTTTCAATATAGGCCAGCTTTGTCTCTCTCTCGAGCAGTGAGGTCTCGGTGGTGGAGAGGGTGCTTCGAGTGCTGGACAGAGATTGTTCAAGCGACTCAATCGTCTTTTCGTATTCGAGAACGACCTGCTCAACAGCCTGGGCGAAAGAATTGGACCGATTCAGTCTGTCAGTGGCGCTGTTAACTTGTGACGAGTCTGAGGCTTCCCTATCGGCAGACTCCTTGTCACCCGCTCTGGCCATTTCGGCGATGAGACGTGCGTGACGCTGGCCGAGTGCGCTGTAGTTTTCTTGCATGTCGAGAAGCTGATTCTGCATCTCAGTTTCGCGCTCCTTGTCGCGTTCGGAGCGGTCAGTCATGCCGGCACTGGAGTTCTTGGAGGCTGAGTCGCCATTTTGGGAGTTGCGGATCTGTTCGCGAAGATAACTGACTTCAGCCTTGAGGCGATCGATGACGGCTTGCCTGTCGCCTTCCTCTACTTGCTGAATGCGAGGCTTGGACTGAATGGCGCGGGCGCGCTGGGCGTACTGGACGGTGTTGAGGGTCTCGCTGAGGTGAAATTCGGCCGGGGTTACACAGGCAATCATGTACGTGATGGCGTTGCCACCGAGCGAATCTTGCAGAAGACGGGTGAGCTTGGAATCACGATACGATACGTGCGAGCCGTGTTGGCGGGATGATAGCTGGCTGATGACTTTGCCGAGCGAGGCCAAGCCGGCATTGATGGAAATGCCTTCCTTGGCTCTGTCGCCTTGCGCACCAGTGTTTTTCAGTCTTTCACTGCCGGCAAGATCGACGAAATGCAGTTTGCTGTCCGTGGTTATGGAAACTTCCTGTCCGGTCATGGCCTCGATGGGCACGGAAAATCGCTTGTCGGCAGCGTTAGTCTGGGTCTTGCTGCGTCTCTGCACCAGGTTTAGCGAGAAGACGGCATGGGAGCGAGAAGACTTGGCATTGATTGCGGTAGCGTCGGTTTGGCGAATGGTCGAGCCCATAGCGAGGGCATTCATGAGATCGTCAGCGGACTCAATCTGAACTTGGTGAAGGCCGGTAACTATGATGTTGCCTTTGGTGTCTTCGCGGATAGCGACGTTGGAACGTTCGCCGAGAGGGGTTGTTTCGGGGGTTAGTAGATCCCGAAGCTGTTCGTTATAGATTTCCACATAGGTGGCTCTCAGAGACCAGTTGCGGTCACCCAGAGGATTTTGCTGGGCATAACCACGTGGGTTTTTCAGTTGCGTCAGAAATTGGCTGTTTCTGAGAGAGCCGAGTGAGCCAATTGAGCCGTCATTTTTGCCGTAGAGAGACTCAAGCTTTGCGAAGAGAGCAGTTGCGGCGCGGGGAATGACACCTGGGGAGAGATGTTAGAAGAGGGGAGTGGCGGGGAGGATGCGCGCATTCGGCAGGGGCGCAACAGGCGTGCTGGCTTACCCATCATGTTGTCATCCTGCTGATCTAGAGGGCCCGAGGTGCCCATTGTGTACGATTTTCCGGCGCCCGACTGGCCGTAGGCGAGGAGCGAGACATTGTAGCCCTGGGCGAAGGCGTTGACTGAGTCGCTGAGATAGTCCCATACGCCTTCCTGGTCGACTTCGGGGCCGAAAACGCGGTCAAAAACGAAGAGCTTGCGTCCTTGGGGCGAATCAATGGATAGGCTTGTGTCTGCTGAGGTCTGAACCATGGAGCGCTGGAAGCGCTGTGGTATCAGGTCGTAGCCGGGATCTGAGGGCTCAAGAGGCGGTCGAATGCGTACAGCTATGCGCGCGCGGGATGAGCATTGGGCGCGCCAAGGGTGGAAAGAGCAAAACCAGAGGAAGAAAAACATACCAACACGGACAGCGGTGCGCGCGTCCTCGTCTGAGGCGCGGCTGCCCAGTCCCGTCTTGCTGCTCATGCTCAGTCTACTACTGCTCCTCGAAGGCTTGAAAATGGCGGACGAGGGTCGCTGGTGAATAGGCGAAGCTGGCGGAGTGCTGGCCATTTTGGGCGGGAACTGGCTCTCGCGGGGACACGGATGGTCCCGGCGCGGGTGAGTAATGGTGTATTTGTGCGTCAGAAGGCAAAAAGGATGCTTGCTAGTAGGGGTAAGGATTTGATTGTTGGTCTCGCGTGGTTATTTTGTGTGAAATAACGGAAGAAGGAGAAATGAAGAAGAGAAGAGGTGCAGCCGTCGTTTGCGCCAACAGGTTGGCGGCCAAGCGGCGTAGGAGGTACCTAGCGGCGTAGCAGATTTAGCAGGGGACCGGGCCAGGGATTTTTGGTGGGCAAGCAAGCCTGGTGGGCTGGTGGCTAGGTAGGTACCTAGGTAGGTAGGTAGGCTAGGCCAAGTAGCTACCTAGGTAGGTAGGCCAGCGCAGGCTGGAAGGCACTTGTCACAATAATACGACTTGCCTGACAGAGGCAGCACCAATGAATAACAACAATGTTTCTGTTTTCGTCTCCGCTGGTCATGTCGGGAATAAACCCAGAGCTGCTCTTGTTGGAGGTGGTGGCCCCACGAGGCAATTGGCGGATTGGGCGAGCTTTCAGGCAAGCATGCGTTTGCAAAGAAAGAGAAAGAAGGAACTACACTATTCAAGTGGTGACGAGTCGGGTGGATATATCCAATGCTGAGCTACGGATATGCGGGAGTCGAGTCGGAAATCGTGGTTTCTTTTCTTTTCCTTGTTGCCCATCGATTGTCGGTCTGTCTCGAGGCTCGTTGGGGGGTGTGCGGGAGACAGCAGCAGTAGCAGCGGGCGACTAGCTACCTAGTAGCATGTAGGTACGAACAGTGGCCCCCCCCTGGGCGGCTGTACTGGAGTCTAGTAGAGAATTTTATTAAGAAGAGAGCAAGATGGCTGGCTTTTTCGTTTTTAATTAAACTAGAAGCCGGGGTGCTTGCAGTGGCGGCCGGGCGGGCACCGTTGCCGCTGTTGGTGCGAACGAATAAATAAACAGTGGGTGCGCACTGCGTTGTGGTGTCGTGTCGTGGTCTTGTCGCGATGCAGCTGGCGGGAAACGATGCAAGTGTCGGCGATGCGCCAGGTTACACACCTCTACAAATATAATGGAAAAACTTGGCGACAAAAATAATTTGCCAGCCTTCTTTCCTTTTTCCTCTTTTCTTTTTCACCAGTGCATCAGCTCACCTCCAACACAAAAGGGGGCGGAAAAAGCAAGAGACCTAGCACCGAGCGTCGCAACCACAACGCCGAATAAGGGGCCAGAGCTAAAAAGCCAAGCTGCATAATAAGTAATTACCCCAAAAACATTACATATCTACCCATAATTAAAATAGAGAGAAAAGATAGGTACGCGTTTTACTGGTACCAGCAAGGTCTCTGTGTGGTAGTTCATCCGTATGGTGCTAATAAACAGTTACTGATACTCAGTGTTTAATACGGAGTACATGTGTACTTGGAGCAATGTCCGTGATGGGCAGGTAAATACAGGCAGTCGTCGCGTACAGACTCCGTATAATTGTCACAATGCAAAGCACCCCTGTTCCTAACCATGCGCATGGAAACCAAAAAGACGACGTGTAAATGTATGCCGCGATTGGCTCTTCAACGAGGCAGCACCACTGCATCAGTCCATGCCCACAGCCTTCAGTACAGCCGGCAAGTGAACATGTCCTGCCAGCCGAGATTGCCTGCGACCAGTCACCGCCATGCAATGCAGCGGCTTGGTTCCCCTCAAGTACCGAACCAGGAACGTACCTGCGCAAAAAGGCACAACAGCCATCCAGGGGGCGTGGCGCCGCCGGCACCGTCACAGACTCATAGATAGTCCCCAGCCCGCCAGCGGGATGGCCAGGGCCGGGCAGTACCGACCAGGGCCTTGATAGGAAAATTTCCCCTATCTGTTCCGCCCTGCGACCTCAATAAATATTACTCTGTACGGATATCCGTACAGATAGATATTTGGATAATACGCCGCAGTATTGGTTGCACAGCTGCCGGTGACGTTGCACTTGAATTAGCCGCTGTCAGTACTGGTACTACTGCTGTAACACCAACCCAAGAACTTGGGCCGCCAAATTTGCCATGACCAGTCTGGCAGTCTCTTGGTCAGTTCACTGGGTCCCGGCTGCCGGTCTTGTCATTCTGCGGATACTTGGGCTTGGACCCCTCGTCACAAGGGAAGCATCAAAGTGGCTTGCTCTTGATCCACCTCTTTGTCGAGTCTCCGTCAATCCGTGAAGGCATCCGTAAGTTACTACGGATTACGTACAGATTAGTTAGTTGACTAGTTACTGGTAGTCATCTCTCAACCTCTGTATCCGTACAAAAGAAGCACAAAACCTTCCCCTGACCCCTCCCACTCAGGAAGCTTGCCAGCCACCAGCAACCACTAGGTCTGTTCGGCTGACATCTCGCCCGCCTGGTTCCAAGTTGCTTTTTCATCCCTCGGTAGCAAAGACCTTGGACATGCTTTTCTTTTCTTCTTTTTTCTTTTTCTTTTTCTTTTTCTTTTCTGCTGATATTGACGCCCTGTACTAGTCATGTTAGCCTGACAAGGTTCAACCATGTTTTCTTCCGGCTGTCGTTGGCGACTAACAAGTAACCCAACTACCGAATCGCGACTTTTGTCATGGTTCCAGGGATACACGTCTTCCCGAACAAGGAGTGTTATCCTAGTTCTTTCGCGTTTTCAGCGCCTGGTTCTGTACTAGCTGAACCACCCGTCCCAAACGAGCAAGGACCGGCATATATTAATTGGCTTTTATGCGCGCACCGCTAAAACCTCGTTGCCCGCAAAACAGTTGCCTGACACGCATGAGATGCAGATGTCTGCTTCAACCTTGGATGCAACCTTCACAGTCGCTCACAAAACAAAAAATTTGCAGGCCGTCGCGGCAATTGCTTGCATTCTGGGCTGTAGAGGCCATCACCATCTATCCACCTCCGCAATGCAACGTCCTGCGGGGGGTATCCGTAATCCGTAATAGTGACAAAAAATATTCAACCTGCCATCTCAGACCCCTACCCATCACGTTTGTTGAAAACTTCTCATCACATTCTACATATGCAATCCGTACATGCGCCTCCTGTCAGATCTGCCGACCGTGACAGACTCCCAGCGCGGCGCTTTGATGCGGAGTTTCCCCTTTCCTGATAGGACCAATTGATGGCAAAGCCTGCAATATCCCCGAGAGCTGCCAGATCGAATACGGTAAAACCCGTGGACGTGCGTTCGCTCTTCACTGTCTGACCCCGCCTTGCGCCGATGCGTCCGCCCAAAGCATCTTCCATCTAGCCTTCGATTTTTCTCAACGCTTCCCATCGTTCAGTTCGCCCATCAAACATGTTTTGTTCTTCCCGACACCCCTTTCCAATTCAAAATGCCAGTATTTTCATCACAGGGTATCCTCGTCCGGTAAATATGTCTACGACCTTGTCTTGTTGCCCTTGACTACAATGAGACACTGCTCGGCGTGTCCGGCTGATTCCAGTCCTCTGCTGAACTGTACTTAGATGACTCTTGCCTCTTGAAATATTTGTTTCTATTTATTTGCGAATTTCTTCGAAATGTATCCGTACTGGTACGGAACAAGCGGCTGGCCCATACGCCTCAGATTTTCAGCTGTCAGCCGTAGTCGCGGCCTGCATTGTCCCTTTCCGTCCCGGCCACTAACACGGATGGATACAGGTAAACTTTATATCGCCAGACGGCCCCCTATCGTCAAACGCCCGCCACCGTCTGTGCTTAAACCAAGTGGCAAAGGGGGCCCTTTCCATGCCAACTTCGCGATACAACTGGTTCGAAAATCATGCGCCTACTTCAAGCCAGCTGCAGGTATGTCTAACCGCTCCCTGCATTTTCTTAAGCGCTTATGTCGTCAGTGTTGGCGCACTTGCAGCTATCCCAAGCCTTACATGCATACAGCATGCTGCCTGCATACAGCATGCAGGCGCAATGCCTCCGCATGATTGATAGTCCTCAAGTCGCATACCTGCGGCTTTTTCGTAGATCGTCCCCTGTCCCACATGGCTTGCATTGCCCTGTTTGCCATCAAATCCGACGACGACCGTGTCCATGAGGAGTGCATATGCTGGCAGGAGTATGTACTCTTGGTTGCATACAGGCCACTCGCTTTGGCCCTTTTACCCGTGATTCAAAGTATCAGGCCACATCTAGGGTCTAGTTTGATGATTATTTGCTTACTGATACAAACCACCAATATTACTTACATGATCGCAGTTGAATCCTCGTAGTGTCAGTCATATCATTACCCCAGTATCCATAGATACCTACAATCTGGGGGGTTGAGTCGTCTGACATCAATGACCAGTTGCATGTTCACCTTTGCGGCGGCATGCACGACTCGTGCCGCCACCAAAGAATGTCCTTGACTACCTGACACCAATCAGTAGCTGTAAATTTCATCTGTACAGGGTGCGTCTGATTATAAAGCCTTGCTTTCCTCATTTTTCTTTTGCATCAGCCTTCAGTCGACGATTGACTTCGTACTAATCCGTAATTACAGAGTAGTGTAACTCTCATTGCTGCAACGCGGCTTGCTTTTTTCTTGGGAACTGACTAGCAACTAGTTACCGGCTCCGAGCGTCTGGAATGCTGGGCCGTCCTTTGCGCAAAAAGAAAAAAAAAAGAAACAATCCTGAGTCGTTCGATCGGCGTTACAAACCTCCTTCCCTCATTAATCGAGAGTGTAACCAGCCACTCGGGTTCCTCAGTTCATGTGGCTTGAGCATTAGGCGGAAGGCTCTAAGATGGGTGCCAGATGAGCCGGAAACGATCCGAGTGAGGGACAATAATGGTATCTTCTGCGTGATTCCGTATGAGCATGAGACGCTACTATCTACAGCTAGCGCGGCCAACACTAGGAAATGTAGCTACCTCGTGCACCAGAAGTCAACTCGGATTTGAAGCTTGTTCAGCAAGTGGCGCAACCGGGCGCGACTCCGCACGTGATTTCGCGTCGCTTTTCCTTTCGCGTCACCTGAACAGTACACGCACCAGACATACACAAGGCCTTTCAATTCACAATGGCCGTTTGCGAGCTGGTCTCCGGTCATGACTTCCAACGTAATTGACCTCATCTCTTCGAGTCCGCCTAGAGATGTCGTGCCACCTAGGCATGCGGCGGCCAAATCCGACTCCGCGCCATCAAAACCGGCGCATGTCGAGATTCACTCGGACGATTTCTGTAGCAGCGGGGATGATATACTTGAAAGTCCAAGGCTCATAAACGAACCAAGTGCGAAGCGGCTGTGCTTGTCTGCTAAGGAGAGCGTTTACCAGCAATGCCGACCCTCCAGCTCATTCGTCTCGGCAGAGTCATTGCAAGTCAAAGGCTCGAAAAGGATGACATTGCCAGAAGAAGTCGAATGCGTCATCCCTATACAAACAAATAGAGCTGTTTCGCCCTTAACCTCTCCTAAACGACGAGTCACCAGCTTGAGGAGGAGCAGGACAGAGCCGGTGCAGCCCAACAGTGGCTGGTTGCCCGACTCTGATCCATTTGCTAGCTCACCACCACCACGACTGGCTGCCAACACGCCACACGCCCAAATTGCTCAAGATAACCTGTCAGATCCATTTGCCAGCTCGCCTGTGAGAATAACGGCGCCCTTCTCCACATCCCATACATCTCTCGCTCGAGAACCGGCACGCCCAAAAAGTACAGTGGCTGCCTGGGATCCCATATCTAGCTCAGCTCCGTGTTCATCCGCGCCTCTAAATACCACAGTTGCACCTCCAAATTGCTTAATACGCAGTCCATCTGTTATCAGCATCGGAGACACATCTGCTTCTAGCGATGACGAGCTACCGGCCATTAGCAATTTCGACTTGTCACAAGGCCGGTCTACATACCATGATTATACATGGAACTCTGATCCGAAAGCCAAGTCGGCGAACGATTCCAAGCGTAAACGTTCCGAGACTAAGCAGAAAAAGCCGCGACAGGCCATTGACCCAAGTCAGCGCGCTGCGGCCAAGGCTCACGAGAAAGAGCAGAAACGTCAGGAACGAGAACGAGAAAAGGCAGAGCGGCAACGGCAAAGAGATGCTGCAGCTGCCATCGTGGAAGTGAACAAGGCAAAAGGAAACAGAAAGGTATCTGCAAAAGAAATGATTGTGGAGATTCCGCTCTCTCTCCCGTCAACAATCAAAGTGCAGCTAGAAACGCTGCTCGGGGGACTCGAAGTGCAACATCGAGACTATGAAAATTCAGTACACAATGTTATCAAGTGGCGTCGCAAGATCAACAGCAGGTTTGACGACGAGTCAGGTCAATGGGTCCCGGTGCCGCTGCGTATTGAACAAGAGGAACATGCCCTCGTTTTCATGACTGCAGAGAACTTGGTGCGGCTCGCCGTGGACGACGGCCTTGACGCGCATATGGCCTCGCTCCGAGGCCAATATCCAAACGAAAAACTCATTTACATCCTGCAAGGCGTTACAGCTTGGATGAGGAAGAATCGGAACATACGAAACCGGCAGTTTGCCGCTGGTGTACGATCACAGAACGAAAGTCAGACAGCCCCTGGACGTCGACGAGCTGAGCCAGCCGAATACATTGACGAGGACATGGTGGAAGACACTATGCTCCGACTGCAAGTCGAGCACGACGTGCTCATCCACCACACTGCCATACCGCTCGAAACGGCGCAATGGATTTCCATATTTACGCAAAATATTTCTACCATTCCCTACAAGAGGCAGAGGGACGAGGATACGGCCGGCGCGCGTTTCTGCATGGACAGCGGTCAGGTCAGGACGGGCGAGAACACGCAAGATACCTACGTGCGCATGCTACAGGAAATCTTCCGCGTGACAGCTCCTATCGCCTATGGTGTTGCGTCAGAATTCAGCAGTGTCACGAAGCTGGTCGAAGGGTTAGAGGCGCGCGGGCCTAATGCGCTGGAGCAGCTCCGTAAGAGCGCCAACAAAGACGGAGCGTTCTCAGACCGGGCGATTGGACAGGCCGTGAGCAAGCGCTTCTACAAAATTTTTACGGGCACAGACAAGACCAGCACGGATGTTTAAAACACCAAGTGGCTTAAGTAGTAGTAATATCCCCTATGTTGACAAAGTCAGCAATGTGCATAGAATATGAAATCAGGTAGAAGAAAAAAAAAATTCAAATCAAGCATCAGACAGCAGTTGGTAAATAACGTGTCCACATTGTGTGTTTGGTACAGGTCTGTGAATATTTGTCTCTCATCATATACTTGGGTAGGGGTTCAGCAGCTCGAGGGCATGCAGACGAAATGAAGTGCAAAAGAAGAGAAAAAATGACTAACCATTTGCCAAAATATCGTAATTCGTCAACGTAATTCATCATTGTCGTTATTTCATCATTGTCGCCCGTTTACTTCCTCTTTTCAAAATAGGAATCGATGGTCCTTTGCCTGGCATCGTGCGGCGCGCTGCCGATACCGCCGCGCGTCCTAGTCAGATACTTGAGGTGCGTCGTGCAGTTGACGCGCAGGACGTGCATCCTCAGAGCCCTGCCTCCGGTGATCGCGTCCGGCATCACCGTGCACTCGAGGTACGCCGTGTTGGACCACCAGGGCTGCAGCGGCGGCGGCGCCCCCGGGTACGACATGAGCAGCTCCTGGTCGAGCGTAAGGCTCTGCCACGGCACCCTCTCCAGCAGGCACGCGTACAGCTTTGGCAAAAACAGGCCGTGCGCGACGACAACCACCACATCATCCTCGGCGCGGCTGCGTCGCAGCCTCAGCAGCGGCAGCAGCATCTCGTCGAGGAAGCGGCGGGCGCGGGCGCGCATCGACGATGCCGTCTCGGCGACGTCGTCGACGTGCACGCGCGACGAGCGGCAGGCCACGCCCTCGAGGGGTCCAAAGTGGCGCTCACGCAGTAGCGGCGTCGTGTGCAGCGGGACGCGTTCGCCGCCGCAGACACCACGCACGGCGGCGGCCGTCCGCGCGGCGCGCTGCAGGTCCGACGTGAAGACGGCGCGGACGGACGAGGGAAAGCGTGCGGCGAGGTGGCCGCCGAGACGGCCGGCTTGTAACACGCCGTGCGTCGTCAGCGCCGAGTCACGCACGCCTGCGAAGATGCCGGCGACGTTGTCGACAGTCTCGCCGTGGCGAATGAGCAGCAGACGCATGGCTGCGACGGGCCTGGATAAATGTGAAGGGAGAGTTTAAAAAAGATGCAGCAGGCACGAGGATAATACGGGAGGATTCTGCCCGGTGCCTGCTGCAAGTGAGGGGTAACAGCTTGCGTTGAAGTCAATGTAAACCTCACAGCGTGAAATTTTTTTTCTTTCGAGTTATGGCTGGTGTAAGCGGATAAAAGTATATGTATGTAGGTAAGCAGTGGTGTATTTAACCAGCATTAAGGTTTTGGCTTATTAGACTGGGGTATTCGCTTGTTCCAAGAGCCTCGGCTACCCTGAGGCAGATTTACGTTTCGCTTCTTTTTCTTATAACATTCCGTTGAATTGGCTGAGTAAAGAAGAAGAATTACTCTTGAGTGTCCTTTCCCGTGGTGTACAACAATAATTGCTTCTTAACCAAATTATCTTAATTTATCGCATCTATCTGTTGTGAAGCTGTGGTGCGCGTCAAGCCGCCGCATGGACACGTGGAGTCCATCACGAACAGCACCATGCCGAAGAAGACTCGTAACTTCAAATGTGAGACGTAAACGATGAAACCACAGTAGTGGATACAAAGCACTTCCAGCTATAGTCGCTACTTGTGGCACCAAACCGGCGGATTAGAACTGAAGCAAGCCGAAAAGCCCGGCTTCATAGGTAAATTGACTTGATGAGAAATACCCTACGATCTAAATGAATATATGGGTATGTAACTTGCTGCTCATCGTTCTGTTTGTAGTCCATCGTTGCAGTGAATTGAGGTACTCTTTGGTCTACTCCGTTTGCCTCCTGCCAGCTGCCAGCGGCACCTGACGGTGAGCATAGTTACTACGTGTATCTATTTATTGTTGTTTATTTCACGTGCTTTCGTTGCGCGTTCCCTCTCTCTCTCTCTCCCTCTGCCTTCAATTTTCAATGTCTGCATTCTCTTTTGCCGTGCAACAACAACTGCGCACGTCGTTAGCCTGGTTCACACGATGTACAAATACCCTGCTCCAGCATTTGGCGCGGCTTCGTTTGCCGCTGCTGCTCCCGCTGCCGCTGTCGAGGCAACTCCGACAACTCCGACAGTTCAAGACCTCGATGCGCAGAGCAAAGCCACCAATACCATCAGGGGTTTTGCTTTTCGTGAGGGGTTTAGAATGCCAGTGAAGGAGCTGGCGATGAAGTCAGCATCAAACTTGCAAACGTCGTCACTGCAAGAGGTATGTCATATGTGACAAGATATGTCTGCTTATGCACTAACGAACCAAGCTCGGACGTCTTGCCGCATCTTCGTCTCCCTATAACAATGTGCCCGAACGCTTGAAGACACAGATGATGAAAGATCTTGCAACCAAATCTACGTCCGTCTTTGTTCTCAGCCCGGACGGGAAATACTATCAAGAACCTATGGCGGTACGCGGCGTCCCTGTTGAACGAATCGATGAGGCGTCTCCTTATTAGGAACCAGGCTGGCTGTCTCTCGATAAGCTTCTTCTTTCCGAACAAGAAGCTCAACTCAGCAAAGAGAGATACTCCGCTCAAGTGAAGGCATTGGGCATCAGGAGCTCAGATCGGTTGATCAAACTCCTAAAGACTGCAAGCGATGACTGCAGTAAATACGTCAAAATTCGAGAGATTTTCGGGCATGGTATCGGCAAATATCACCCAAACCAGCTTGTCGCCAAAAAGTACATGCCAGCCGACGGCTTGTGTGAGAAAGAGCTTCTCTACAAATTTGCTCTGAAGATCTCTAATCTACAGGAGCTCTACCGGATGAAGAAGCTAACTATGGACCCTTATGACTTTTACCGATGGGCTATCTGCAAGAATCTAAAGTCCGATCTACACAGTGCCCTGGATAATTCTCGAAAAATGTTGAAAGGGATTATTCGCACCATGGGCGATGACGGTGGGCAGGCGGACCAGGGATTCCGCACTATTGTCCTCTACTGGGCATCTCTTACTGGCAATGAGAGAAAGTTCGGCAAGAACAAAGCATGTCGAGTCAGAAAACTCGGAAGGCCATCGAATCCAAAGACAGGAAAGCTGGCATCATCTGCCAACCACGAAAAAGTAGATGTCAAAGGTCGCGAGCTAGCGCATGAAATTTCGCACTCGAAGGAGCGAGCTAGGAAGCGTCGCCAGCTGACTGATCGAGAGGCAAATCGGCCAAAGATATACGGAGGAGTAAACGCGCACAGGGCTGAGAGGGGTATATCGAAGTGATCTTTGCTATGAAATTCGGAATGAGATTTTTATGGAATAGTTTTGCTTTGGACATAAGCAGTATGCTTCGCTTGACGATGCGCGAGCTGAGATGGAGCTTGGAGGCTGTCGTCGGAGTAGGAATTGGACATGACGGGCTAGGCAATCGCAGCAAATTATTAAATTTAGAACTTGGTCTTCACTTGAAAGAAAAGCGAATGCCGACGTCACCAATTGTGAAAAGATTCCTCCCCGCCGAAACATCACCCACTTATGAGATGAGCTGATGTCGCTGTGTCGGCAAAGCTCCAAATTCACGTGATTGGAATAGGCGCGATCTGATTGGTCAATTCAGCAAAAATGGAAACCTTTCCACCCGAAGCAGCTCATCTCACAAATCCCTCGATAACAGGCCACTGCTTCCTCCCCATCCGCCTAATTATCATCCCGACCAAACTGCACAGAACTGTCGCATTTGCCCGCCATGTTCATGCAACGTACAGTCATTGCCGCGGCCCGCCGTGCTGCCATCAAGCCCGCCGTCGCCCGCTCCTTCACCACCTCCTTTGTCCGCCGTACGCACTCTATCCCAGCGAAATCTTTGTGTTCGACGCCAACGACCACTAACAAATGCTGATTGCAGGTGAAGCTGCCAAAGGCCCAACCACTCCCAACGAGCAGGCCGCTGCCCTCGCCCATGACAGCAGCAAAACCGTCGGCACCTACAAGACCTTTTCTCGTACGTTTTCTCGAAAATCTATCTCCTCTCGCGCTTCGATGGAGTCATCGCGAATCCCGACAACATCCGATCGCGAAACACGGACACCCGATTTTATCAATTGAGCCATACACACGAAGGAGACTGGTGCAGAGAGCTGACATTTTCTTTCTTCGTACAGAGGTAAAGACTGACGAAGACCTGCTTGCACCTGGTGCCAAGCCCGGTACCGTCCCTACCGACCTCGAGCAGTCGACTGGTCTCGAGCGTCTCGAGATCCTCGGAAAGATGGAGGGTGTCGACGTCTTCGACATGCGACCACTTGATGCCAGCCGCAAGGGCACGATGGAGGACCCCATCCGTGTCCGCTCTGCTGGTGAAGAGCAGTACCTCGGCTGCACCGGCTACCCTGCCGATTCCCACGTCGTGACCTGGCTCGGCGTAAGTTGGCAGGAAACTCATGTTATCACCGTGTGTCTAATTCATTTCTCTACAGATCTCCAAGGACCGCCCCATTGAGCGCTGCCCTGAGTGCGGCAGCGTCTACAAGATGGACTATGTTGGCGCCGAGGATGACCACCATGGCCACCACCACGCCCCCGAATACCCGGAGCCTCAGACTTTCGCCGACTACATTAAGCCCGAGTACCGCTACCGATGAGCGAAACGTCAATCAGTGCGATTTGGACGTGTTGCCAGAAATGCTCGTGGCGCTTGGGATCGTAGGTCGATGCAAATGTACAAGGGGATAACATAGAGGAGAGGGGGAGGTGCGCTACGCGGTTTTTGGGGTTATAGAAGTAAAGCATGGAAAAGTATCCCACGTTGGAGAGTGGAGACCTGTAGAATATGAGAACTTGTTCCTTTTGTTAATTGAAGATTACTGTCTACATCTTGTACGGGAACCAGGACGGAGACTTCCCGCCCCCAATCAAGATCTCACGTAGGACTGCAGTTCACCGCAAGGGCATGCGGAAGAACCATGACGGACACTAAAAGCAGCGATTCAAAAGAGAACAAGCCATTGCCGGATGGTAGACGATCAATCTAAAATGGTCTGATATTGAGTCGCTTAGTCAGGCATCAAAACAAGCACCAACACCAACTTACTTTGGATCCAATGCTCATCATGACTACAAGCACCTTTCACGTCCTAACTTACCAATAATCCGCGACAAACCATCCCGCCAGGGGCGAAGCCTGAACATTATGTCCGAGAAATTCAACTCAAAGAATTTATCCTACGCGTCCAAGCCACCGCCCTTTCTCGCGGCGCTTCAGGCACAAGCCGCCGGCCACGGCGGTCCCGACCCCATCGCAGCTGGCCGTCGACGGCCCGGCAAGCAACGCCGCGGCAGCGAAGAGGCCGAGGATGTGCCGCTGGTAGTGGATGAGCACGGCAACACGCTAGCACTCGAGGTGGACAAGGATGGTGTGGTGGCTCCTGGGCAGCATGATGATGACTCGAAGCAGGAAGGCGATGGCACGCAGGAGAAAGACAAGGAGAAGGAGAAGGAGGAAGCGGTGGTGAATGCGAACATGTCGATTGGCGGTAGAAAGCGGAAAGTGGGCAAGATTGTTGGCGGGGGAGAAGAGGAGGAAAATGAGGGAGATGGGACGACTGCAAGCAAGGTGAAAAGTGATGAAGGAGCCAAGAAGGATAAGGTGGGAGCCAAGAAGCCGAAGAAGAAGACAAAGGCCATTAAATTGAGCTTTGACGAAGATTGAGTGCTTCTCTGGTCCAGTTCTCCATAACCTTTAATTCTTCTTCGCGGTCTGCGAGCTCGAACGAGGATCGAGGTGCGAGTTTTCTAGCCTTGCGATGCCTAGCGGTATTACCTTTGTCTAAGCATTTGCCTACGTTGCGACTCTCGCCCTGATCGGCCGACGAATCTCGCTCTACATGTCTGGCTATGTTTTTGCGTGATACAATAGTTTCGCGCTCTGCAAACTTATTGCCAGTCCACCTGACCTATTGCGTCGTCAGACCTCGATGAACTGGGCGGCCACAGCCGATCTTTACAACTACGCCCAGGAAAGAATGATACCATACATATGCAATGTCTCGCCATATGTCGGATAGGCCAGGCATGAGCCCAAACATCACGGCCTCTCGCTGATCTAGAGCCATACCGATGGCGATGAGACGGCTGAGTGACCTTGCCGGCCACGATGTGACCAGAAGACTCGAGGAAGAGTGCTGGGCGTAATTTCTTTGGGCAGGGCACGATACCAGAGCACTTGAGACCATTGAGATTCGCCAATAGCTCTACGGATGACGAGTAGAGGTTGATTTAACGTGTATGCGTTTGAGGCTACGTGGAGATGTGCACTGCGTGGATCGATTTCAGAGAGCAGGATAAAGCATATAAAATAAAAGAAGACAGCTACTACACCTCGGATTCTAGTGCGAATTTAGAGACATCTCGAATACTTGATCTTTGATGGATACAAGTAGCATGGTACCAAATGCAAGCCAGGACCAGCGCCGTTTACTCCCGGAAATGAACGTTGCGTATCCGTAATCTGGCGGGCACAACTTTTATCTACGAGCCAATTGCGCGACCCTCCCTGGGCCCATCTTTTTGGCTTGGCTGGAGTTGGAGAGGCACGAACAGCCTAAAATAACAGGTTGACAGGTGGGTATGGAGTATTTAACTAGAGGCTATGGCTATTATACAGGGATGCGATGACTCGCAACATCTCAGTGTCGAGAATGACGAAAGACGCAAAGAGAGATGAAATAAATTGAACTGTCAAGATACATAAGTCCTTCGATAAACAAGCATTGTATGATGAAAAATTGTTGCTACGTCCATTGCAATGCCATCGAGTTTGTCGGGGAGAAAAAAATGCCTAGCGCACTCTAGACCTACAGTGCAGCACCACTGCGGATCCCAGCATCCCATCTCTGTCTCTATCTCTTTTTCTGCTTTGCAACGTTCCCAGCGGCCTTCCACGGCGTATATAGAGTGTCTCGTTTGCAAGAGCAAACTCTTGTCCATTGGCCTGAAGACTTGCGCGATTTCCTCTTCCTTTTAATTATTTCTTTCGTTTCCATTTCGTTAGCCTTTCTCTTCTTTACCACCGCGAGGGCCTCCGTCGCCCCTCGTCCTGTGTTGCGAAACCGTCTAACCGCGCCTCCCGTTCGTCGCCCCTGTCCCACCCGAAAAAGCTCTGCGTTATCATCGGCTTTTCATCGACTTTGAGGATCTGGGATGTTCTGCGATATATTCGGCTTTGCGCGACGTTGAAACCCACCTCGAGGCCCCCGGTCGTCAATCCAGGCTACCTGCCCCTGAACTCGACAGACCGTCTGCCTCCCCTTTTGCGCCCATGCCAGCCCTCGCGGAGCAGTTTGACAGTAACACCCAAGTTTGACGCCTGTCGCTTTCGATTCCATTGATTCTCCAGCCGCTTCGCATCATACTTCTTTCTGCCGCCCACCATGGATCTCTTCCACAGGGCCAAGCGCATGATTCCGACGGCTCAGCTCGAGCTGCCCACCCTCGACGAGAAGAGAGGCGGTGCCAGACAAAAAGGATGGGCTGCTCGCCTCGCCTTCTTCCGGAGACCGTTGCGGTTGCGAGGAAACTCGGCCATCTCGGTGCCTCTTGGCGTCGTTATTCTCTTCCCCCTTATTGTCGTCATTCTCATCCTGCTCCTGTTCGTCCGCCATCCCAACAATAGTGGTAGCATTCTTGTCCCAGCTGGGGCCCCGCCAGCCATCAGGTATGTATTGCTACCTCATACCCTGCCCATCTCTTGCCATGTTCAAGCTGACATCTTCAAGAAAAATCAGCGAGAAGTACGACAAGGTCTTCCTGACCGGCTGCCAACCCCCCGACAACAAGCAACCTAGAGCCAATGCCACCTTTGTCGTCCTCGCCCGAAACAAAGAGCTCGAAGGTGTCCTCCAGTCTATCAAGTCGGTCGAGCGCCACTTCAACCGCTGGTTTAATTACCCCTATGTCTTCCTCAATGACGGTGACTTTAACGAAACGTTCAAGGAGACTATCCGCAACCATACGTCGGGCACAGTCGAGTTTGGCAAGGTTGGCCCTGACATGTGGGGATTTCCTGACTGGATCGATACCAAGGTTGCGAAGGAGGGCATCGCCAAGCAAGGTGATAATGCCGTCATGTACGGTGGACTCGAAAGCTACCACTTCATGTGTCGCTTCTACTCTGGGTATGCTCTCTGCCGTACTGTGTATGCGTGTACCCAGCACTGACTAAGCTAGATTCTTCTTCAACCACCCTCTCTTGCTCAAGTACGAGTGGTACTGGCGTGTTGAGCCCGAGATCACATACTTCTGTGACATCACCTAGTATGCTACTTTGTTTGTTCTTTGCATAGCCACACGCTAACCTTGACAGCGACCCCTTCCTCAAAATGATTGAGCAGAAAAAGACGTACGGCTTCACCATTGCCATCAAGGAACTTCGCGAAACTGTTCCCAATGTCTTCCGCTATGCCTCGGCCTACATGCGAAACAACAACATTACCTCCAAGGGTTTGTGGGAAATGTTCCTCGAACCGCGCAAGAGGCAGCCCGAGGTTATCAAGGATGCTCTGCCTGAAGAGATTGCCCAGGGTGAACCGGGTAGCGGCGCTCTGCCCGACATTGACCCCGAGACTATGGAGGGCGACAGCTACAACATGTGCCATTTCTGGTCAAATTTTGAAATCGCCCGTCTCAGCTGGTTCCGCAGCAAGGAGTACCAAGACTTTTTCGAGATGCTCGACCGCAGTGGCGGCTTCTGGATGGAACGTGTAAGTTGCAATTGCCTCTACCGTGATCACGAAACAGACCAGCTAATGCTATCATACGCAGTGGGGTGATGCTCCTATCCACTCTCTTGCTGCTGGTGCCCTCCTCGGCCCTAGTGACGTCCATTACTTCCGTGACATTGGCTATCGCCACACCACAATTCAGCACTGCCCTGCCAACGCCCCCGAGGCTCGACAGCTTCCTCCCATCCCGTATCTCGACCCAACTACGAAGGATCCCAAAAAGCGCCAGGAGGAAGACGAATACTGGGCCAAGTATGACGAACCACAAGAAAACGGTGTCGGCTGTCGCTGTCGCTGTGATACTGACATTGTCGACGTCGAGGGCAAGGAAGGCTCATGTATGGCTGAATGGGTCGATGTTGCCGGTGGCTGGGCCAGCCCTTAGATTCTCTTACTTTTGGATATAACGACCTAACCCTTTCCACATGATGAGCGGAGTTTTTTTTCTTATTCATTTCTCTGGCCGCATTGTTTGTCTGCTGGTTGTTTCCATGTCTCAGTCTTCGAAACGCAGCTCATTTCTTTCGCATACCATGTCAGTTTCTAGGCAACGCATCAGTTGCGTTTTCAAGAACAAGCGGAGACGTGGCTGAGCATCATCATGGGCTAGTACGCGGCGTTTATTCTTCAACATTGCACATACGCGACAGGAAAGGACCATTTTTTAAAGAAACGGAGTTGGGGGATCGGCTACTGGCAAGGCTGTTTCTGGATCGGACAAGAAGGTGATGTTATTTCTTGCAGACTTGTCGGTCAGGGTCTTTTTCTGTCCAGACAAGACCACTACCTTTGCAAACCATAGCTTCAATCAGACGGGCTGGGGGAGTGGAGAAGCTAGTTCTTGAGCCGCTTTCTTGTACTTGGGGAATGGATATGCAAGTTTGCTGTATTTGTGTATTTGAGAGAGGCATGGCGGAAAAGCTTGGGCCGGAATAGGTTGTAATTAGAGGTTGAATTTGGAATAGCGAATAATAATGTTACCCCAAAAATCTTGAAATTTGAGCATGCCAGACAAGGGAGCAACCGCGTGTGCTTTGCGACACAATTAAAGACTAGAAGGAAGGGGAGGCAAATTTGGGCAATGAATGCAAATCAAGCCTCCTTCGTTGGCTTCAATTCGTCTGATAAATTCAACTAAAGTACCTCCAAGGCGCTCGCCATCTTGCATTCTTCCAGATGCCAGCTCCTAACCGGCCAATGAGAACTCGTGGTGGGTCTGGCTCCTCCTGGCCCAAAAAATTCATGGAGCCAGCGGCCATTCACACTTTGGCTTGTCGACACGACACAATTCGAGCAACCGACTTTGCGACAGCGGCACAGTCGCAATCAAGAATATGCCGTCGAGACTGTTCGCCCACAATGCAATTACGGCTGCGTACCGCGCGCGGCCAGCCTCGCAGGTCTCTTCATTGACGGCCTGCCTCGCCAACCTTTCGATGCAGCACCAGTCCCGATCGGTTTCCATACTGGCCAATCTCGCGCCGAACAAGGGCGCCGTCAAGGAGCGCAAGCGAGTCGGACGCGGTCCCTCCTCTGGCCATGGCAAGACGTCCGGACGGGGTCACAAAGGTCAGGGCCAGCACGGCCATGTCAAGCCCTGGTTCCAGGGTGGTCAGACGCCGTTGATTGTGAAGCACGGCCGAAAGGGGTTTACCAATTGGTGCGTACTTTAAAATAATAGTGCTGCTGGAGGGTTATCATTGAGTGAGGGGAAATGCTAATGATGCGACATCTCACAGGCGTGCACCCCAACTCTCCCGAGTCAACCTCGACCAGATCCAATCGTGGATCGACCAGGGTCGTCTCGACCCGACGCGGCAAATCACCCCGAAGGAGCTCATCGAGAGCCGACTTATAGGCAGTGTCAAGGATGGCGTCAAAATTTTGTCTCGCGGCGCCGAGTGCCTCCGGCAACCCATCGACGTCATGGTCAGCCGCGCCTCAGCTGCGGCCATTACCGCGATCGAGGGCGCGGGCGGCAAGGTCGTCACGCGGTACTACACCAAGCTGGCGATTCAAAGGCTGCTCAAGGGCGAGTCGGTCAACACGACGACGCCGCTGCCAATGGGCCAGGAGCACGTGGCCAGCGTGCTGGACGCGGCCAAGGCGTTCCGCTACCGGCTCCCAGATCCCACGAGCAGAGAGGATATAGAGTACTATAGGGATCCGGCGCACAGAGGGTATCTGAGCCACCAGCTCCAGCCGGGCGAGTCACCGAGTTTGTATTACAAGGTGCCGGGCACGGAGAAGATTAAGAGCACGAAGCAGAAGGCGGTGGCGCAGGAGACAATGTGGTAGGGGAAGTCAACTGTATCAAAAAACACTATTTCATCTTGTATTATACGTTTTTGGGCAGCTAGATATGTCATGGGAAGCTGCGTACAATATTCTTTTTCATAAGTGGCGCTGTTCTTCATGGCTGCTGGCGGCTCGGCCGAGGTAAGCGAAGACAATTGTAGCTTTTCTCGCGAGATACGGTGCATGTCGGCAGGGCAGGTCCGTTGGAATAGCTACTTGACTGTTCTAGTCGTCACTTTCTTCGCTCTCTTCGATATCATCACTGCCGTCACTTTCTTCGCTCTCTTCATTGTCATCACTGTCGCCACTTTCGTCAATGCCGTAACGGGAAAAATGGTCGGAGTCTGCCGGCTCAGCTGCGACGGTGTAGCAAAACTCATGGCCAATACTTTTCGAGTCCAGCATGCTACGAACCGCGGCCTCGTCGGCCGGCGGCTGTTTGCAGTCCACGGTCACACTGCGCATCTGGCTGCAGTTGTCGCCGACGGCCGAAATCAGCGGCAGTGCGAGCCAATCGCCATTGATGGCTTCAAACCTGAGCACGTTCAAGTTTGGTGCCAGAAGACTAGCCCAAAAGGCGCAGTCATCGTCGTTTTCGTCCCGGTGCAGAAATGGCGCGGCCACCACCAATTCGGTCAGCCAATGACAAATCCGCCGCGTTCCAGCCGTGGAAAGTTGGCTCGGCCTTGTACCAGTCCAAGCGCAGATAATCAAGGCTGTTTTTGTATCTCTTGACAATATGTCTGATGACGTACGAGCACTTGGCACTGTCTGAAGACGAGTACTTGGCGCCAAAAGACAGTCGTTGCAGCGCGGGAAAGCTCTTGCACATTTCGCGCACGTCCGCATTGTGCAGATCAGCTTCGACGAGAACAAATTCATGAAGAGAGGTTGCGAGAATAAGATTGTGTGCTTGATGTTATACCTTGTACGGATTATCAACTGGCCGATCTTGTATTTCTTCTGGCTGCCAGGGGTCGGGCGCTTAATGGTGGTGATGAGTAGATATTGGTGAATGCCATTGGAAAGCTTCCGAGTTTTATGCGCGACTTGATGAATTGAATCTTTGAGGAAGAATCATTTTGGACGTTTCGCGCAGCAGACGCCGAAACCGGTGTTGTGCGGTCATAATTATGCACATTCCTTTTTGGCTCGCGAAGCTTGTGCCACTCTCGAGTCCTTGGCATGTAGTAGTATCGTGATACGAAGCAGAGACTCTGGCGTGATACAAGGCTGTCTCATCCTTGACATCGACGTTCGGCCAAGAGGGCAGATGTGATCCGTCGTGAAACATGAACCGCCCGGCAATACAAGGCCAATGGGCCACCTGAGCAGGGAAAGCAGGTGTAATACTTACTGTTGGTTATCAACGATAATGATCGTGGGTTCAAAATGACTATATTCGTGTTGTTGATGGTTATCCTATAAGTTAGTATGTGTGGAGGCAGCTATATACACCACCCACTGTATAAGAGCTATTATATAAATAAAAGTACGGCTTTCCTAGCTCCCAGCTAATAAAAATTAAGTGCCTCTATAGGCAAAACAAATACTATAGTTGAAGATTTAATCTTTTCTAATTTCTGAATGTGACTCATCACGAAAGATGTCTCCCGAGTCTCGTCGTAAATTGATTTCAAACTTTCTTGCGACGGAGCGGCTTCTGGAGCTGACTTTGTCCCAGGAGCCTTACACCCGTCCGCGGTCGCCATCTCATTTTCGTGGTTTACTATCACTACTGCGCCAGAAAACTCTAGGACTGCGCCAATCTTGTGAGCCCATCAATTTCATTCGCAGAGTCTTTTCCTTTTGCCGTCGGCGCGCAGCATACCAGCATACGTTGTCTTTTCTCGCAGCCTAGTTCAAGCCCAACGACAGCATCACAAGGCTGTGGGCTTTTTATCGAATCGAAGCTCCATGATGCACAATCTTATTCGGACTCCGCGGACTCGAGGATCTATTGAGGAGCTCGAGCGCCGTCTTGGTCACAAAGAAACTTGACCATGTCAATTTGGAGGATTCAGCCAACCTTCTTCGTACATGCCATGTCGGAACCGTCGAGAATGCTATAACGGCAGATGAATGCCTTCAGGCTGCGTTGACTTATCTCAGCTAGCCAAAAGACAAGTTGACTGCTAAATTTGTCTTGGAATGCATAGATACTCTATAAAGTAGCAAATATAGGCAACGCTTCAACTCACAGCAGAGAGCCTATGATGGTACTCTGGAGTACCAGAGACAAGTGCCATTAGAGGATCACGAACACAGGCAAATTATCACCATCTACAGAAAGTATTGCTACATAGCAGCAGGGAAAACCAGAAGGATGGGCAAACCACACTTGACAGGTTTGACAGGTCAACTCAGCTGCGACCCCGACCGCAGCCAGCCGCAGCTGCAATCTAGTTATTGGATGCTTCTTGTACAACCTGACAGTCCGCATTACGACCATACTTTTGTTGCATCGCTGATGCAAATAAATTGCCCCTCTTTTGAGAGTATCGCAAATAATGCCCCCAAGAGTTGGTCTTTGCTGATCCCCATGAACCCTGCTGATGGCCTCGTGACGATCCTTGAAGCTTGCAAGGCCGAGAAGAAACGCTGTCGTATGTGAGCTAGTCAAGATTTGATATGGCTTCTTCAGAATTGCGACGATCAGCCGTTGATTAGCTCCGGACCGGATGACGGACCGGTCGGGGCTGTGCATTCTGTGTGCATGCTATATCCTCGTAGACGAGGAGCTCGCGACGGGAGATTGATCAGCAAAATTGCATAAATAGACGGATCGTAACTGTAACTACCGATAAAAACATATGAGATTACAGTTTAATTGCCGAGCTGTCGCTCAGAAATGTCGCAGAAAATCACATTCATACGCGGAGAAAAGATCCGACAAGCCACCAAATGTCAATGATGATGCACTTTCAAGTTATGTCTAGGTTGTTACGTGCCCACCTAGAAAATTGTAAGATCTGCCGTATGATACACAGAGTAGGCCGAAGCTTGGCGCAGGACAAATGCAGTAGCGAACTGAATAGGTCGGGGCTGCATGTCATGCATTACTGCACTTACAGTACTTCGCATACTCGGCGAATACAACACGTCAAAGTAGCCACGTGCCAGGCTAATCAACGGCGGAAAACGAAGTCTTTGCTACTAAATGCAAAATTTGACACAAGGCTACTTGTCCGGGTTGTTCTCTTGGTAGAGGCACTGCGCAATGAAATGTAACATGAGGTAGCACTGTCCAGCAGCATCAGAAAAGCAAAGAAGAACAGGACATCTGATGATCATTAGAATTTCTGGCTATTCGCTTTATTTGTTCTCGTATCAATGATCTTACTGCCATTGTGCCATCCCGAAAGAACCGATAATCGTGTGTTCAACATACGTCGAATGTATTGTCAACACCCTCTGCCACAAACGCCTTTACCAAGCACCTCATAGGCAGAAGGAGCAGAAGATCGCCTATAAGCTAGACAGTTGTTAATCGATACGTTTGAATGAGGATTGACTTTAGCAGCTGTCCACAATACTGCTCCATCAATAGATGAGACGGGCGGATGCTCTTCCGTAGTTTGTCGACATCTGCCGGCTTCAAAACACTTCAACGCATAGCGCATGTCGCACTCATTGTACATACACTAAGCGCAAAGCAATATCTACAGATAGCGGTTAAGATCGGTCGAAGAAATCTTTGCTGGCAAGTTGGTGTAGGACGTAGACGTATGTTTCACGCTTGTTCCTCAGAATCCTTGGCACTATTATTTGCCAGTGCTATGTTCGAGGCGCCACATACTAATAGCCGGCGCGTGACTGATTACTTTGGACATTGCTTGCATAGCTGCATTTTTGTCTTTGTTGATCATGGATTCGTGGAGCTGAATCAAGGACGCCAAACCGCATGGCTTTGGAGCATCGGAGCGGATTGACCATTACCGTCTGCTTTATTTTAATGCCCAAGCTGAAGAAATTTTTAATAGTATGCAATATACTAGAGTATTAGTAGTTGTTTTGATAGGGGATTATTGGTGAGGCAAAAGTGTATATAATGCCAGCTGGTCCCCATCACAAAAAGGAAAAGGAATCACGGTTTCTTCTACCTCTCAAACTCACAGACACCAACTTGTATCCATCATTGAAAATTGACTGCTACAATGAGTGAAGTTGATACCATGAGCCATCTCACTCGCGCTGGAGTTGAGAAGCTTCCAGCCTTGGGGGATAAGCCTCCGAGAATCAACACTCGCTATGTCGTCAAATCCAACCCGGAGATTCGCCTCAAGGCATCGGACGAGAATGTACGAGCCGAGACTTGGTTCAGAACTCCGGTAAGTTTCAAGTATGAAATGTTTGTGCGTTGCGTTCTCTTGCTGATCATGTTAGCCATTCAACGCCCACACGATCCGCATGATTCGCGCCGTCAAATTGTTTGCTGAATCGCACGATCAGGGTTCAGTAGACGACATGATGCAGGGAAACTGGACATGGTTTCAGTTGGCTGTACTCAGCAGTGACAAAGCTACGTCTCCCAAGAAAGGCAGTGATGGACAAGAGCTTGTCGTCACGAGCCACGCAAATAGAGTCGCCTCTGATGAGTTTGAGTGGCTGGAGGGAGGAACTGTGGACACGCGCCGAATCTTCTTGCAGGCACTCGAGGTAAGAAAAGCCTTGGCAAACCTTGATCATCTTTTTTTCTTACAAGTATTATAGCCCGGGAACGTCATCGCAGTCCGTGTTTGCGCCCGCTTCCTCGGATGGGAAATGTTCGCGAGGAATGGACACCTCGTTGTTGAAATGGGCGAGGATAACCGTAAGAATACAAAGTATGCTATTTTTGTTCCTGTTTTCTGATTTTAATGCAGAGCCCGTGCCAATCAAACCCATCAAGATTGACACGGATGATGCGATTCCCGCCCGACGCAATGTGCAAACATGGTACAACGAAACCAAGACCTGCCACGAAACGGGACTTGAACTGTCACTGTTTATCCGAGCAATGAGAGTTTTCCAGTCCCTCCGTCCCGAGGACCAGCTATCGTACTACCGCATCGCTGGAATTCATGGCTTTCCATGCAACGTGCCATGGAACACGGGCGATCCGGTGATTCCGCTCGATGACCCGAACCTCGAAAAGCTGTTGGAGGAGAAAAAAGGTGGCCAGTATTGTGAGCATAACAATTATCTATTTCCCACCTGGCACCGCGCGTACATGTTGCTATATGAGGTATGCATCGTTGAAGTCGCCTCGGAGCTCATTGACTGATGATGATATTTGACTGCACAGCGAAGGATTAGCGACCTCGTGATGGAGGAAGCCTTGGAACGTAAACATGAAAACGAGAAATGGGTGCAGGCGGCAGAATGCTGGCGTCTACCCTATTGGGACTGGGCCGCCCATCCAAGGCTCCCTGACATCGCCTGTGACGAGACAATCAGCGTCATAAAATCTTGGAACGGTCGAGACGAGCCCCAGATGGAAGACTTGGGTAACCCAATGTATCGCTTCCAAATGCCTGGTCTTAAGCCTATGGGTGATTCTTCATATGGCGACTACCGCTTGAAAAACACCGAGAAACAGTCGGTATGTATTCACCTGGAGTGCTGTGGCTGGAATATGGTACTCATGACAGTCAGTGGCACAAATGTGTTGGCACCAGTCGCCATAGCATCAAGCCCAGCGACTCTAATGGGCGCTGGGTAATGGGAGAATCCAACGCCGAGGAAGTCAACAAGTCGCTACAGGGGTTCAAAGACCAAGATTATCAAAATATGACCATCAAGGATTCCGTTTTTCGCCTTCTTACAGAGCACTATACGACGAAATACGTTCACTTCTCGACGACGAGATGGTATGA